CCCATTAATCCGAAAAAGAGCTAAAGTTTTGCCAAGGCTGGAAATCTTACAAACAACGATACCTCTGATCTGAGGTCTGTAGTCTCCGGTATCTGTACATGTCATTTGTTGGGGTGCATTTGGAAGGAAAGTATCCCAGTTTCCTTTATACAGCCAGATCAGTTTATTTTTGAATCTGCATTAGAAAATTGTTAGTTTTTTTTTTTTTTTTTTTTCCCTTGGACAACACCTTTTTCTTTTCTCAGCTCTTTATTCATTGCATTCTATATAACCGTAAAAGATATTTCTGATTCCTAGGCAGATGGCTGTGTTAGCTGCAGGCCTGTATGAATAGCCATTTCTTCTAATCACATGTAGCATTTTACGTCTGTAGATATCTTTTGCAGAACCATCAGTGCGATCGTTGAAAGGGGATTCTTAGGGTCTCGTACTGCCAGATTAAACAGGGCTGGGTCTGCGCTCGCTGGGCTGCTGGGAAATACTGACATGTAGAGAAAAGTGCTTTAACCACCTCAGTACCGGCATGTTTCACTCCCATCATTACCAGGACATTTTACAGCTTTCAGCACTGTGATATTTAGTTTGACAATTAGTCATGCAGCATTATTCCCAAATAATGGGTTTTTTTTTCATTTTTTGAGACAAACATAACTTTTTTTTTATTATTTATTCACAACTGGGATTTTTTAGAATATAAAAGAAAAAACAGACTGAAAAGGTAAAACAGACTGAAAAGGTAAACGTTTATCTTAATTTCTGTTGAAATGAAACCATGAATTTAGGCCAAAATGTATTCTGCTACATTTCTTCGGAAACAAAAAATCCAAATATGTAGTTCTATTATAAGGGTCCTTTCACACAGGCATTTAGTTTTTTTTCATCAGTTCAGTCATGTTTTTTCCAAGAAAAATGCATCAGTTCACATCAGTTTTTTATCAGTTCACAGTTTTTTTTCACATCAGTTTTTTTATCAGTTCACATCAGTTTTTTATCAGTTCACATCAGTTTTTTTATCAGTTCAGTTTTTTCATCAGTTTTATTTCTGTTTTTCGCCTGTTTTCCATCCATTTACATCTGTTTTCTGTCTGTTTACATCCGTTTTTGTGTTTACATCCGTTTAGTCCATTTACATCCCTTTTCATCTGTTTACATCCATTTTTCGTCTGTTCCTTTTTTTTTTTTAACGGAAGAAAAATAGGGTTTTTTCCATTCAAAAAAACAGATGTTAACAGATGCGGACGTTAACAAAGATGATCATTTCTTTACATCCGCTAGTCCATAGAAATATATAGGTATCTGCTTTTCATCCGTAAACGGACAGATGAAAAACGCCCATATGAATGGGGCCTTAGTCTGCATGAAAATCAGTCTGCAGTCTATGGTGTATATACATTTGAAATTTGTTAGAGGCACTTAAAATACCATGACAGTACAAACAACACCTTTTTAAATAGCAGACACCCCAAGATATTTGTTGAGTAACATGGTGAGTCTTCTGAAGTGCTGGCAGGTGATCAGGACACTGACACTGGTGTTAGAATACTTGTGCTGGTGGTGGCTGGAGATTAGGACACTTGTGCTGGCTGGCACTGGTATAAGAACCCTCCTGGCCGGCGATTAGGACACTTGTGCTGGCTGGCACTGGTATTAGAAACCCTCGTGCTGGCCGGCGATTAGGACACTTGTGCTGGCTGGCACTGGTATTAGAACCCTCTACTGGTGCTGGCCGGCGATTAGGACACTTGTACTGGCTTGTAATGCTATTAGAACATTTGTACTTGGGCTTACTGGTGATTAGGACACTGGCATTAGTTGTCACTGGTATTGGAACAGTGTACTGGTGCTTGTTGGTGATCATGACACTGGCATTTGCTGACACTAGAACACTGTATACCGGTGCTTACTAGTGATCAGGACACTGGCGGTAGTAGGCCCCGGTATTGGAACACTGAACTGGTGATCATAGCACTGCCATTTGCTGACACTAGAACACTATACTGGTGCTTACTGTTGATGAGGACATTGGCGCTGGCTGGAACTGGTATTGGAACATTGTACTGGTGCTGGCCAGGGCACTGGCACTGGCTGGTACTGGTGTTAGAACACTTGTACTGGTTCTTAATGGCGATCAGAACCATGACACTGTCTGGCACTGGCATCAGAACACTTGTACTTCCCCCATATGCAAAGAGGTGCAGGGAAGCGGTGGTGAAACACAGATTCCAGAGTGTTGGTTCTCAAAAGATCCACTTTTCACATCCATCCCAGACACTTCTGTGTGATATCATATACAGACACCTGGGTTGAATGTGAGAGGTGGATTGTCAGGGACCAGCATGCCAGAACAGGTACCTATGTCTCACTGCTGCTTCCCTGTGTTGCTCTACATATTGGGGGAGAATTGCATTCTGCCCTACATACTAATGACCCCTGCACTTTCTGTACTCTGCCCTACACTAATGACCCCTGCACTTTCTGTACTCGGCTGTCCCTACATATTACGGACCCCTGTAATCTACCCTATGTATTACAGACCCCTGTACTCTGCCCTACATACTAATGACCCTGCACTTTCTGTACTCGGCCCTACATATTACAGACCTCTGTACTCTGCCCTACATACTAATGACCCCTGTACTCGGCCCTACATATTACAGACCTCTGTACTCTGCCCTACATACTAATGACCCCTGTACTCTGCCTTACATACTAATGACCCCTGTACTTGGCCCTACATATTACGGACCCCTGTAATCTGCGCCGCTACGTATTACAGACCTCTGTACTCTGCCCTACATACTAATGACCCCTGTACTCTGCCCTATATACTAATGACCCCTGTACTCTGCCCTACATACTAATGACCCCTGTACTCTGCCCTATATACTAATGACCCCTGTACTCTGCCCTATATACTAATGACCCTGTACTCTGCCCTACATACTAATGACTTCTGTACTCTGCCCTACATATTAATGACCTCTGTACTCTGCCCTACATACTAATGACCCCTGTACTCTGCCCTATATACTAATGACCCCTGTACTCTGCCCTATATACTAATGACCCCTGTACTCTGCCCTACATACTAATGACTTCTGTACTCTGCCCTACATACTAATGACCTCTGTACTCTGCCCTACATACTAATGACCCCTGCACTTTCTGTACTCTGCCCTACGTATTACGAACCCCTGTAATCTGCCCTACGTATTATGGAGCCCTGTAATCTGCCCTACGCATTACGGACCCCTGTAATCTGCCCTACGTATTATGGACCCCTGTAATCTGCCCTACGTATTATGGACCCCTGTAATCTGCCCTACGTATTACGGACCCCTGTAATCTGCCCTACGTATTATGGACCCCTGTAATCTGCCCTACGTATTACGGACCCCTGTAATCTGCCCTACGTATTACGGACCCCTGTAATCTGCCCTACGTATTACGGACCCCTGTAATCTGCCCTACGTATTATGGACCCCTGTAATCTGCCCTACATACTAGTGACCCTTCCACTCTGAGTTTCTTAGCCCTGACCCCTGCACCTGTGGTTTATTCCCATTTAGGTCAGAGTAATCTTCCCATCCCCTAACATCAAGACATTTCTTTTCTCCCACTGTTTAAAGTGGAACTTTACCTATAACAACTTGATAAAAAATAATCTTTTTCAGCAAGGAACATACATTCCACATTAATAATTATTCTACCAGAGTTAATGCTGTAAATTGCCTCCAGCATTGTTCCGGTCTCTTGTTGCTAGAGGTTGCCCTTTTACTGAAACCTAGAGCCCCGGAGTAGAAGTAAATCTTTAGGCTGTCAGCAAATTGGCCTCTAGTGGCTGTGATTTTCAGCACAGTGCCCAGAATAGAGAACTACTGAGAACATGCAGAACCAATTGAGAGCGTGTATTGCAGGATTTTAAACCATATAGGCACTTGTTTTTAATGTTTTACATAGCTATGCTTGCAAGAGGGATATAGTAGGACCTAAAGTGTTACTAAACCCACAACAGTATAATCAGTCTGTATATGCAGTAAAGCATGCTTGTTATACTCACTGTGGAATCTAAGGGGTTAATCCTCTGCATTGTGTAAAAAAAGGCCCTTTGATCCTGTCTTCTCTGCCCCTCCTTGTTCAAATGTCCACCTGATAAGACAGACTGAACCCGTAGCCCTTCTGCACATGCTCAGTTTAGTGTGTATTGTTAGAGAGGTTTTTGATTTTCTCTTGGGAGAGTGCATGTGATCAGCACAGAGCCAATCAGCACTGTCCAGACAGAGGTCAGGGGTTCTGCATCCTCCTTGAGCAGAATGAAAACTACAATCTTTAACATGTGCTCTGCTGGACACTGATAGAAGTCGCAAGATTGCTCTACCTGCTGATGAGAAAAGGTATTTAACAGTTTATATTTACTAAAATAATTGCACTTCCATGTTCTATGTACTGTGGGAGACCAGATATAGTGAATGCAGGGTCCGGGGTGACTGTATATAGTGAATGCAGGGTCCAGGGAGACCAGATATAGTGAATGCAGAGTCCGGGGAGAGCGGATATAGTGAATGCAGGGTCCGGGGAGAGCGGATATAGTGAATGCAGGGTCCGGGGAGACCAGATATAGTGAATACAGGGTTCGGGGAGACCAGATATAGTGAATGCAGGGTCCGGGGGGAGAGCAGATATAGTGAATGCAGGGTCCGAGGAGACCAGATATAGTGAATGCAGGGTCCACGAAGACCAGATATAGTGAATGCGGGGTCCGAGGAGACCAGATATAGTGAATGCGGGGCCCGGGGAGAGCAGATATAGTGAATGCGGGGCCGGGGGGAGAGCAGATATAGTGAATGCGGGGCCCGGGGAGAGCAGATATAGTGAATGCAGGGTCCGGGGAGAGCAGATATAGTGAATGCAGGGTCCGGGGAGACCAGATATAGTGAATGCGGGGTCCGGGCAGAGCAGATATAGTGAATGCGGGGTCCGGGGAGAGCAGATATAGTGAATGCAGGGTCCGGGGGGAGACCAGATATAGTGAATGCGGGGTCCGGGGAGACCAGATATAGTGAATGCGGGGTCCGAGGAGACCAGATATAGTGAATGCGGGGTCCGAGGAGACCAGATATAGTGAATGCGGGGTCCGGGGAGACCAGATATAGTGAATGCGGGGCCCGGGGAGAGCAGATATAGTGAATGCAGGGTCCGGGGAGAGCAGATATAGTGAATGCAGGGTCCGGGGAGACCAGATATAGTGAATGCAGGGTCCGGGGAGACCAGATATAGGGAATGCAGGGTCCGGGGGAGAGCGGATATAGTGAATGCAGGGTCCGGGGAGACCGGATATAGTGAATGCAGGGTCCGGGGAGAGCGGATATAGTGAATGCAGGGTCCGGGTGAGAGCGGATATAGTGAATACGGGGTCCGGGGAGACCAGATATAGTGAATGCAGGGTCAGGGGGGACCAGATATAGTAATCGCAGGGTCCGTGGTTTAGTAACACTTTAATTTTCTGACAACGGGGATTTTTTTCTACTGATTAAAAACACAGAGCTTGTTCCTTCCGCTGACCACCAACAGCAGGTTATTTATTATTTATTTCAGGTATTTATGTAATGTTGTCAATTTACACAGCACTTTACATATATATTGTACATTCACATCAGTCCCTAACCCTCAAGAGGCATCCAATCTAAGGTCCCTAATTTACATTCATACATACACATACTAGGGACAATTTACCTACTAGCATGTCTGGAAGGAAACCGGAGTACCCAGAAAAAACCCGCACAGGCAGAACATGCAAACAGGCAGGTGATGCCATAGTTGGGATTTGAACCAATGACCCTAGTACTGCCAGGCAGAAGTGCTAACCATTTAGCCACTGTGCTGCTCATATTTTTTTTTCTCCTATGGACAAATGACATGGGGCATTTTTCTCCCACTGACCACCAATGGGGTGTTGTATGTTAAGCTGGGTACACACTAGAAGAAAATTGGAAGAAAAAGTAGTAAGGTTCCTAATAGGTAGACCATAAAGCCCCTTGTTCATACATTTTTTGAAAGCAAACTGTCACTTTAGCCATTGAGGTCTAACCCTGGCAGGGGTTAGAGGAAGTAAGAGTGTGCATACCCTCTAAATGTAGTATTTCTCCTTTAACTCCAGGATTTCTGTGCTGTGCCTTTGCAGTCTCCTCTTTTCTAGCCTGTATAAGCTGCTTGATGGGTATCGGCTATATACACAAAGCATCAAAGTCTCTATTTTTAATCTTCTGCACAGTAATCCTTATACCAGCCAAGGCCTTTGTATGTGAGATGGAGGATGGATTTATAGGCAGCATATATATTGTCTTCCATTGTCATTGCTTTGGAGAAACCTCGGCCCCTGGCTGAAGAACTATATGACCATTTATGACTAGTTGATCAAAACCTCAGGGCCTTAGGAAAAATGTTTAGGCACATTTACATGATCTTTTATTTATGATTGTGTTTAGGGTTGATTGTATAGTACATCATGGAAGCTGCATATCTGGTGATCCTGCCATTAAGGATGGCTTCACACTGGCCTGCTGTGCTTTGGCTGCAGTGCAGTGTACCTGTGTTTTTTTTTTTTTTTTTTTTTCTGTGCGTGTTAGCTGCACCTTCCTGGCCGGGTGTTTATGGAGTGGCACCATAGACTTGAATAGGAGGCTTCAACTCCTCCTGACTCGACCAGAGGCATCTGTTTTGCCACGACACAACATGACGCTGAAGCTCCCGTTTGAACAGCACCATGTGCTGCAATGTGCAGAATTTTCCCAGGCGTTTGGGAAATGGTAAAAACGCTTCACAAACGCCTGTCTGCCGCTTGCAAACAAGGCTAGTGTGAACGTAGCCTAACTGTGATGCCTGGAAACGTGCACAAAAAATCAAATCACACACACTCTGTCACACCTATGAGATGTGGCTGAGCCTCAACATATATAAACGGAAGCACCTTATGGACCATTATATTGTTTTTTTTTGCGCTGGATTATTTACTAGCTCTCTGCCAGCAGGATCTCTGTCGATATCAGTACTTGGATACCACCGGTGTTCATATGACTCTAGATAGGGTGATGGTCAGGAGTCCACAAAACATTTGCTCGTGAAATAAATTGCAGCTTTTTATTTTATGCTCTTTTATATTGTTTGAAGACAACATGACAAAGTATGAGAAAAGGAGCAATCACAAATCAAATAATCCTGGCACATTAATCATGCAGCGTGTCACATCTAAAAAGCAGACGAACGTTGTAGCTGGCGGGTTTCTGTCCACATTCATAACAGCGCACCGGTCTCTGTTACAGCACAGTTGGCTTGGCACTGGTGTCAGAGTAAATAAATCTGTTCTGGGTTACGGAGCTTTTCATTGTGTGCCAGGCATATCAGACTCAACCACTTGTGAACGATGGCTGCTCTATCGCTGGGCCACCTTATTATTCTCGATTGTGCCATCGTACCATAGAGCTGTGCTGGCTGATACTCCAGCTAATCTCACGCTTTGCTTACGGCAGCTTTTTGTCCCACTTTATCTGCCTTCCTTTCCAATTGTTTCACTTAAACCTCTGATGATGCTATAAGGATGTCTATAGTTTTTTTTTTTTTCTGTGTTCTTTTCTTTTTTTAGATATATTTGCACTGAAAACATGTGCAGTATCTCACAGAAGTGAGCACATCCCTCACATTTTTCTAAATATTTTATTCTATCTTTTCATGTGACAACACTGAAGAAATGACACTTTCCTACAATGTGCTGTAGTCAGTGTACACCTTGTATAACATGTAAATTTGTTGTCCCCTCAAAATAACTCAACACACAGCCATTAATGTCTAAACCGCTGGCAACAAAAGTGAGTCCACCCCTAAGTGAAAATGTCCAAATTGGGCCTAATTAGTCATTTTCCCCCCCCCGGTGTCATGTGACTCGTTAGTGTTACAAGGTCTCAGGTATGAATGGGGAGCAGGTGTGTTAAATTTGGTGTTATCGCTCTCACTCTCTCATACTGGTCACTGGAAGTTCAACATGGCACCTCATGGCAAAGAACTCTAAAGATCTGAAAAAAGTATAGTTGCTCTACATAAAGATGGCCTAAGCTATAAGAAGATTGCCAAGACCCTGAAACTGAGCTGGAGCACGGTGGCCAAGACCATACTGCGGTTTAACAGGACAGGTTCCACACAGAACTGGCCTCACCATGGTAGACCAAAGCAGTTGAGTGCACGTGCTCAGCGTCATATCCAGAGGTTGTCTTTGAGAAATAGACGTAGGAGTGCTGCCAGCATTGCTGCAGAGGTTGAAGGGGTGGGGGGTCAGCCTGTCAGTGCTCAGACCATACACTGCACACTGCATCAAACTGGTCTGCATGGCTGTCATCCCAGAAGGAAGCCTCTTCTAAAGATGATGTACAAGAAAGCCCATAAACAGTTTGCCAAAGAAAAGCAGACTAAGGACATGGATTACTGGAACCATGTCCTGTGGTCTGATGAGACCAAGATAAACTGATTTGGTTCAGATGGTGTCAAGCGTGTGTGGCGGCAACCAGGTGAGGAGTACAAAGACAAGTGTGTCTTGCCTACAGTCATGCATGGTGGTGGGAGTGTCATGGTCTTTGGCTGCATGAGTGCTGCCGGCACTGGGGAGCTACAGTTCATTGAGGGAACCATGAATGCCAACATGTACTGTGACATACTGAAGCAGAGCATGATCCCCTCCCTTTGGAGACTGGGCTGCAGGGCAGTATTCCAACATAATGATCCCAAACACACCTCCAAGATGACCACTGCCTTGCTAAAGAAGTTGAGGGTAAAGGTGATGGACTGGCCAAGCATGTCTCCAGACCTAAACCCTATTGAGCATCTGTGGGGCATCTTTAACTGGAAGTTGGAGGAGCGCAAAGGTCTCTAACATCCACCAGCTCCGTGATGTCATCATGGAGGAGTGGAAGAGGACTCCAGTGGCAACCTGTGAAGCTCTGGTGAACTCCATGCCCAAGAGGGTTAAGGCAGTGCTGGAAAATAATGGTGGCCACACAAAATATTGACACTTTGGGCCCAATTTGGACATTTTCACTTAGGGGGTGTACTCACTTTTGTTGCCAGCGGTTTAGACATTAATGGCTGTGTGTTGAGTTATTTTGAGGGGACAGCAAATTTACATGTTATACAAGCTGTACACTCACTACGTCACATTGTAGCAAAGTGTAATTTCTTCAGTGTTGTCACATAAAAAGAAATAATAAAATATTTACAAAATTGTGAGGAGTGGACTCACTTCGGTGAGATACTGTATCTGTTCATAGAAGAAGAGAAAAAAAATGGGGGGGCATAACAAATGTGTTTTTTTTTTTAAAAGACTAAAAGCATTTAAAGTGGTTGTAAACCTCAGACATGAAATATGAACAAAGCATACAGGGGTTGGAAAAAACTATGGAAACACCAGGTAAAAAAACAGAATTGTTACCTGATATAGTTTTGGACCGCCTTTAGCATCAAAGACGGCCTGAATTCTCCTGAGAATTGACAAATCTAATTCTTGGGTGGTGGATAATGGAATCTGATACTACTCCATGCAAAAATCGTTCTGGTTTTCGCAGAGATGCCGAAGGAGGAAAATGAGCCTGCACCTTGTCCTCTAAAATTGACCATAGTGGCTCTATGATATTGAGGTCTGGTGGCTGCGGCACCCAGGGAAGGTGCAAGACTTCGTCTGCAAGCTTGTCAAAGCATTGACAACACCAGCTGTGTAAATCGGAGCAATATCGTCTTTGTAAATAACATTGTCTTTGGGGAAACCATGTCTGCACCATGGGATGGTGTTTGCCACATGTAAACTAGTCCAGTGGTTGGGAACAGCATGAAGCTCGATTCCTTGGACCATATTACAGGCTTCCATTGATTGATTGATAGTCCACGATTTATGGGTGTTGCACCACTCTACCCCCTTCTGAGCACTAATATTGATCACTACTGGTTTGGCAATTGCAGCTCGCCTGTGAATGTTTTGCTTGTGGAGTTCCTCTGCTCCATTTTTGTGGACATGGGCTTTGGAAGACTGAGACTGAGCTCTGCAGTCACTTTTGCAGCAGTTGTTTTTTTTAATTCCGGGTCACAATCCTGCACAGTGTCCTTTTGTCTCTTTCGGTCAGTTGTCCATGATGACCGCGCTTGTTCTTATCAGACTATGTTTTCTCGGAAACTGTATTTGCTGCCATAACCTTTGATACTGAACCTCACGACATGGCAAATAAGTTGGCAACTTCAGTCACAGAGGCTCCAGCTAAGCGGCAACAACAATTTGCTCCCTTTGCAACGCCATAAGCTCTGGCACAACTTCGTATTCTAGCAGTGCACACAATGAATGACTGAAGTGAGGCTTCCCATCTGTTATCTAGGTGTCTCATCACACAGTGGAAGCAAAAGAATGTTATATCACTTCTGCTTTCA